AAACCGCTTCATTTTTTTTTTAAATAGGGTTTTCTTCTAAAGCCCAACATGCCTAAGAAGTCATTATTATAGTCCATGCCGGCCGCAAACATGTGGCAATCATCTTGCTTCAACCTCCCAAGTGCTGGCATTACATCAGATATGAGTCATCCCATCTGGCCTGATAACTCTTTACTAGTGGTATTTGTGTCTGTATGAAACTTTATAAAAGGACTATACATTACACAACAATGAACTCCAATTATGATTTATATCTATGTAATGTGGACATAAATTTGTAATAAAAATTATAAAACAAGTTAATAGGAAAGGTTGTGACCTTATGAGATAGTTTGAGACACAAGGCTAGTCTGGTATCTTCAAAACCGCAGTATATTTCTGGTAAATTCCTAGTAGTAGTATTTTACTATTATTTATATAATAATTAGTGTGACTACTTTTGAGGAGCAGTATTAATAAAAACCAAAAATATTTTACTATAAATTAATGTAAGATTTCTCTATTAACCTCAAATCTTTTACTAGAAAAATGAAGGGATGAAGGGACAGTCAGATGGTTCAATGAGCAAAGGTGCTTGCTGCCCAATCTGACAACCTGAGTTTGGTCTGGACTGCTCTGACCTCCACATGTATGTATGCTGTGGTATGTACATTCACCTCATGAACACAAACACACAGAATAAGCAAGTCAATGTTATCTTTTTAATTAAAGAATAAGATAAAATGAGGGTATTTTTAAAATTAAAAAATTAAACACACTGCTAAAGCCTATAGGCATAAGAAACAAAATTAAAAGTTCATTAATTCATTAACACCAAAGGCTATTTAACAATCAACATGAACTTTTCATCTAGAAAAGGCTAAAAAGTATCGTAGTTTTGGATTTCACAATTATCAGGCAAAAATAATAAGTAACTTGCTTAAAATATATTTATAATTTCTATGAATACATTATTTATAAGAGCACACATGTGGTTATGCATGGTGAGTCATGCTTGTAATCCTCACAATCAGGTAGAAGCAAAAAGGATCATGAGTTCAAGGCCAGTATTGGCTACATGAGACATTTTCTAAGGACAAATAAAGGATACATGTTTAATACTGATATGGATGGAAGACTGGACTGTAGAAGCCCTAGTGAATGCAACCTAAAGATATATAGCACTGTTTTTATTCTTGTATGTCCTTCTCATTTCTCATCATCTCTTACAGTTCTAGGCATCTCATGTTTACCTAGTTTGTCCTAGTCATATTTGTATTTTATGCTTTCACAGCCTTATGGGAAGTGGTGGTTTATCAGAACATGAATGAAGCTGTGCAAGGAGGATTCTGAGAGCTTATGAGATAACTCCAAGGAAACAAGGCAAAAGTCTTGTAACCTCAGTTTCTCCATAACATATGCTTTTGTGCCCTCCCAGGTATAATAGAAGTGTGTTTACTTTAGATTATCCATATCTCACCCATTATTATTCAGAATGATGTTTTCAAACACAGGTTATCCTTGGGACTGTATACGCCCTAAACTCATGTGACTTTTATTCATTTGACTTAGCTTAACGCTCAGAATACAAATTGTCTGATGCTTTGACTAAAACTGGCTACTGAATGAGACTTTAATCTGGCTCATTTTAGGTTCCACTCTCCCATATTCATGTGACCAACTAGAGCAATAACAATGGTTTGCATCTGTAGTCCTAGCTACTTGGGAGGCTGAGGCAGGAAGACTGAGGTTTTAAAATAAGGTTCAATATCTCTATAACTTTTATAAGTTAAGAGAATAGCATAACTGTGCAGTAGGTATCACAATGTTATAGTTTATCACACAAATCTTGTGAAACACATTCAGTGTGGGTAAAAAAAGACAACATTTTTTGTTCTATAATTAGTCTTCAATGTCCTACAATAATGACTACATGAAACAACAACAACAAAAAAAAAAAAACAAGGCATGGTGGCAGAATTAATGAATGAGGATGGTATTCAACCTGAATTTTATATCTCTTCACTTGAATCAAGATAAACTTAGAAAACTAAAAGTCACACTAAAGCAGTTAATTCTATAACCCACTCTTTCATTTGACTTTACAAGTCTGCAACAAGTAACAGAATTCTCATTCCCTTTGCACTAAGTGTAATTCATATTTGACATAAAATATATGACAGCACAGGACAGAGGAAAATAAGGTAATTTCAATATTATATTGTCAGAAGCTGTGAGTATATTCATTCTTCAAATTTATTTTAAGTCCTATTAAATCAAGACCATTCGAAGACTTCATTACACATTTAATATCAGATAATATAATATTCCTGGTTTTGCTCATATAAAAGTAAATAATTGAGGACATTTTAACCATAGTGAAATACGCATAAAGAAATGCTCATCTATGAAGTAAAACATAAGAGGTTGACTGAAGTTATACAAATGCAAAATCTGAGTGATTATTATCCCATTACTGCTCTGATAAAATTGTAATAACCAGTGATTTTTCTTAGAAAACCAAGTTTCTTTACTGTGATGAAATTATGGAAGTACAGCCCTATAAATTCTATTATTTCTTAAAATACTTGCATGGTTAATTCAATCTTTAGGATTCCATTTTAAAATTACTATCTTGTATATATTACATTTTGACAGAATCTGAAATTTTAAAAAGACTAATATATTTCATTTATAACAACTTAGAAATATTTACTAACTTTTGGCAGGATCTCCAGCCCTAGATAAAATATTTCAAAGCACTCAAAACAAACAAGTCAAACCAGTTGTGGAGAAGTGGTCTCCACATGCCCACCCACCTGAAAATTTTCACTATTACAATAAACAAACTGTCTTACTGCAATGGAAGTCTGCTAGGATTAAAAAGCAGCACTGTACTGTATCGTACTGTGTACATATATTCATTTAAAATGACTGCTAGCCATTAATCTTAAAATGTTTGCCTAACCATTAATCTAAACATGAATACACTGAGTGTTTATTCATTTTAATTTTCTTGGTGTTCTTTAGGGACACATTCATTCCTAAACTTTTTCTATTAAGTTTCTATAAAATACAAAGAGTAGAAATATACAAAATTAATCCAAGATTAAGAATTTGCCCATTAAAATGAGCAGTGAATACATTATTATTTGCATTAAAGAAATCTATTTAGAATACTTATAGTGACTATGTAGCTTTATAAGAAGATACTACATTTCAAATGTTCTGTTCTCCTATCCCATTAAAAATAAAGTCTAGAATAACTACATTTTTATGTGCAAAGTATCTCATACACATGAGGTCTATCCAAATAAAATGACCTCTTTGGGAATATGTGCTCCAGATTTAATGTTGAAAAGCATAGTTTCTACCCAGCATAATTTGGCAGAAATTATACAATCATTATAATATGAGTTTCATTAAAGAACAGAATAAGCCAAATATACACAAATATGTGTATAATTGGTTACAGGCCAAATCATATCACAAAGAGCTCATAAAACAAACATTGTATCTATACTCCAATAATAGCATTTTAAAACAAAAATGTAAAAAAATTAAATTGAGAATTGTTCATTAATAAAATTACTTTTCTAAATTTTTATTTTAGGAAGTTTCCTAACAGCTAATTGTAAATATAGATTTATACATAGTATATATAATATCTGCTGAAAATGATCAATTATTTGATATAAAATTTAAAATATATATGAGGTAAGAATTCACTTTCAGATTATCTTATTACACTTTCCTAATTGGGCAAATTCAAGTTTTTAAAATGAGATTTTTAGATATTTAGACTAAGTATATAAGAATTGCCATTGGTTATCAACATCAAAACCACTACACTGACTTCCAAAATGGCTGTACAGTTTACACTCCCACCAGCACTGAAGGAATGTTCCCCTAACTCCACATCTTCTCCAATATAAGCTTTCCTCGGTATTTTGATCTTAGTCTTTCTGACAGGTATAAGAACGATACCACTCTTGGGTGTTTGCTCAAAAGATGCCCAGTCATACAACAAGGACATTTGGTCAACAATGTTCATAGCAGCATTATTTGTAATAGCAAGATCCTGAAAACAACCTAGATGCCCCTCAACCGAAGAATGGATAAGGAAAATGTGGTAAATTTACACAATGGAGTACTACTCAGCAGTAAAAAAATGATGACCTCATGAAATTTTCAGGCAAATGGATGGAACTAGAAAAAAACATCTTGAGTGAGGTAATCCAGACTCAAAAAGACAAACATGGTATGTATTCACTCATAAGTGGATATTAGACACAAAGCAAAGGATAACCAGACTACAATCCTTAGCTCCAGAGAAGCCAGGAAACAAGGTGGACCCTAAGAGGAACACATGGATCACCCTGAGAAGGTAAATTAGATGAAATCTATGGGGCAAATTGGGAGTGGGGGAGTAAGGAGGAGAGGAGGGAGCTGAGAACAGGAGGGAATGAGATGTCCTAGGTGGGGACTTATAAACAAATGCTATAAAGAACTTTATGTAGCCAATGCAATCCCTGATTGATTTTTTACCAATCTTGTCTTCACTACTTCCGGAGACTGTAATATCAAAGAGCTTCCCAAATGTGCAATCTGTATTCCTAAACTTAGCCAGCCTTATCTTTCCTTATTCTTCATCCCCCAGAAACAACAAATGATTAGTAAGGAAAAAACAATGTTTCTATTTAAAAACAAATCAAAAGGCAATTTAAAGCTGTATGCCAGTCCTAAAATGTATGATTCTCAGCAAGGCATGGTGACACATGCCTGCAATCCTAGCCATCAGGAAACAAATAGAACAGACTTGCTGTGCATTGCAGTTTTGTAGTAAAACCCTGTTTTGCAATCATATGATTTCTATATTAGTATATAGCCTAATAGAACAGGCTACTCTGATTATACATACATACATACATACATACATACATACATACATACATACATACATACATACATTTAGAAGCTAGTACCTACCTGACTTTATATTATGATTTAATATAATTCAAATTTTAAAAAAGCTTTATAGTTGTTAAAAAATTTGCTTCTACTTGTCTTCACCAACATACCTGACATCATATAGACTTAATTTAAGCAAAACAATGAACAAGAAATAGTAAAACTTAAAGAATACCTCAGGTGCCACAAAGTTTGCAGTGTAGCACGGAGTTAACAGAAGTCCATTTTCTCCTCGAAGCTGTTTGGCAAACCCAAAATCACAAATCTTAATTAAATCTGCATTGGCTGATTCATCCATGTACAAAATATTACTGGGCTTAAGATCACGATGAACAACCTAGAACATAAAAGAAAATAGCATTATATTTGTGTAACTAAATTTTTGTACAATGTTAATAAGAAAAATCCTCAGATTTTTGTCCCAACCTATCACTTCAAAAATAATGTGAAAAAGCCAGGCAGTGGTGGTGCACCCTTTTAATCCCTGCACTCAGGAGGCAGAGGCAGGAGGATCTCTGTGACTTTGAGGCCAGCCTGGTCTACAGAGCGAGTTCCCTGGACAGGCTCCAAAGCCACAGAGAAACCCTGTCTCGAAAAACCAAATGTATTCTGCCAGGTAAGCATTTCAGTATCTCCCAGCTTTGTTAAGCATTCCCATCTTCAATTATTAGTTCTACTTTTGGATACTAAAGTTTTACCCAGTGACCCACAACACTCTACCTATTAACTCTTGATATAATAAAAAGTTAAGAGCTTGCAGGTACAAGAGAATGTAGAAAAACAGGGAGACACTGATAGTAACACATTTGGTGGAAGGGTGAACAGAGGAAATTGTGGTAGGTTCCAGTATCCATGGCTTTCACACTAAGAACTAAGTACAGTATACATTCCTTTGGAAAAACTAGCTTTTCTATTTAAGAACTGCAGTAAAGAGAGGAAAACCACAAAAACAAAGTCGGGAATACTATACAGCAAAGAACCAGCACTGACAGATAAAACAAAAATACTTGCAGAGGGTTTAAGATTTTATATAAAGAATATGAAGACAAAGATACTTATAGTCTGCTACTATTCTCTAGTGGTTATTAATGCTTTAAGGATAATTTTGGCTGAGTTTGAACTGATTATTCCTTGTTTGGTGTATTGATCTGATGCTCTTCATATCCTTTATTTAGCAATGTACAACAAGGTATGCTCTTTAGAGACAAGGGCAAAATCTTGCTCAGTATTTAAATCCATAATGCCGTTTGCTTACAATGCCTGTCATGGGTAAATGTTCAAAATGTCTGCTATTTAAGTGTTCTCAAAACAAAATTGATAAAGAAATGAATCAAACAGTAGATGTTTATCATATTTTAAAAATTCTGGTTTATCATGTCTTACAAAAATTCTGTTCTTTCAAGTTCTTGCAAAGAAATTCGATTGATTAAATTACTATATTCCTGTAGTATTATGCAATTTATTTCCAACTACTGAAGCCTTATTCTTAGGTCACACACAACATTATTACTTTATTTTTATTATTTATATGTGGGGCTTATATTCAATTTCTACTTTACAATTCTGATACACAGTTTGCATTCCTTATATTTCATAGGTATTGTTGAGTTATAAATGATTCAAAATAAAAATTTTAAATTATACCTAAAATTTTACACATATACATACACATAAGTTGATCTTTTTATTTCAATTCATGTGCCTTATATATGAAGACACAAAAAAAATATACAAGTCACCTCCACAAAATTTAACAAATTGATATTTCAAATGTTTAGAGTAAACTTATTGTCATATTTAGAGCAACTGGTGAGAGTCAATATATACTTTTAGGTGCTAGAATATAATAGCTATAGAATAATTCTAATATTTGAAATGCTTGTGAATATTTCTTTTTTTCTCTTGTTGGCGTTTAGAAGTCTAAGATTGTATGGAACTCACTAAGTAGTTCAGGATGGCCTCAACTTTTAATAATCTTTTTGCTTCAGCCACCCATGTGCTGAAATTAGAGGTATAAGCCACCAAAACACAGCTTAGATATTTCTTTGATGATTTACACTTTAAAGTTTAATTAGGCTTGATAATACATACACTTGATAATACATACATCAAGGGCAAAGATGAAATTACCAAGCCACATACATATTATATTCAAACCACTTTCTATAAACTTCACTATAACACTGAGGTTTTTTATTAGGCTATCCTATATAAAAATATACAAGAAACACAATATAGATCCCATAAAGGAAGAATTCAACTATAACTTACTCCTTGACAATGAAGATATTCAACTGTCTTGGTTATCACATACAGTACATCACGAGCTTCCTGTTCTGAAAAACACTTTTGTTTGAGAATACGATCCAGTAGTTCTCCTCCTTTCATCAGATCCGTGACAAGGTAAACAAATTTCCCATCATCAAAGACCTAAAAAGGAATGTGTTTTAAAGTTTTATTACTTGTAATTATTATTCTAATTTTTTTAAAGTCGTATTTACTTTGCTATGTTAGTACAACTCTAGAATCAAAGCACACACATCATTTCTTTCTTGTTAATACAGTATAGGCTGTATTGAAGAATGAATTGGAAAAATAATCTCCTGTGTATATACGTAAGATCATATCAAACATGGAGTTGGGTAATATGGAGTTTTTGAAGTTGGAGGTTAGAGAGTCCATTAAACCACATAAACAAAAAGAGTAGAATTTAAGTACTTCTTCAAACGTAACCACCTTTGTGATAGTAAACACAGCATTTATTAGTTCATTGATTAGTATGATATCATAAACGAATGTTGAACAGTGCAATAAAAGAAATAGAGAAGAAAAATATTTCCACTTGGGTTGTGATATGTATACACACACACTCACATATACATGTATATACACAAACTGTTTAAATATAATAAACTATATACCATAGCATCTGAAACAAACTGATCAAGATGATGGTTAATAGTTTTGCATATTCACAAAAACAAGCCAATTTTCTAATGTAAAAGTCATTATTCAGAGATATGCATCAATATGTGCATTACAGGTTTATTTTACAAAACTGTAGACTAATACTATTTCATTCAAGGAATTACCTATAATTCTACAGCCAATTATTCTATAATCAAGAAATTTATTTTCCAGAAACAATTTCCTTTATATTTATAGGGATGAGAAAAAATATTTCTAGTTGTAATATTACTGAGTTAACTATTCAGAATAATATTGAGATTATTAGGTTTTTTTATCAACAATAATAGTTCTTTACTGAAATCTTTAAAAACAGATGTATAGAATCACTGGAGAATTAAAGTAGCAAATTGAGATTTGTCTGCATTGCATTGAAAATATCACAACTATAAATTTCTAGTCCATAATATTATTAACTTAGTTGACATTTAGATTTTAAAATACTTACATCCTTCAAAGTGATAATGTTGGGATGCTGTTGATAGCGCATCAGAATTTCAATTTCTTCTGAGGGGTCACGTTTATTTTTGTCAATGATCTAAGAAACAGATCAGAGAAAATTCTCAAAAACAGTCAAATGATTTTCATTATCAAGTAGAATGAAATATTTTCCATTTATACATCTGTCTGTCTGTCTATCTATCTATAATTTTGTTGCTATTGTTTTGAGATGGATTGTGCTCTGCTGTCCAAGGTGTGCTAGAACTCAATATATAGCCCAGTCTGGCACTATATGACAATCCCTGCACTCTCAAGTGCTAGAATTACATCCATGTGCCACCAGGCCAACCTTCATCTGGGTTATATTATTTAAAAGAATACTTAAGAATTCAACAGCATCATTCTCTAATTGTCTAACTCCCTAATTATTCTCTAATTCCTTACAATGGAAATTTAACAGAAAACAACTAAGCTAGATCAAGTATACTGCCTTTAACAAAGACTATACTGAATAAGATATAATTTCTACAATTATTCAGTCATAAAAAGTAAAAAAAAAACAATGCTGTTTCTCCAAAATGAAGCTTTGCAAAGAAATTAAAAATGAAAATATTAAAACACAAACTTTTTTCTCATCATTTGATTTATCCCTCCTTATTCCAGTAAAACTGTGTATGAACTAATCTATAATACAAATTACATACATCAAACAATAAATTAGGATCAAAAACAATACCTTCACGGCAAATTCCATGTTGGAATCTAAATGTATGCATCGCTTGCAAACAGAGTAAGAACCAATACCAATATCCTCTTTCAATTCATAGACTTCACTAAATTGAGCAGCATTTCCATTTATCTGTTTTTTAAAACAAATTAAACATGAATGAAAACAAATTTCATTATTTTCTTCATTTTGTCCTAAATAATCATGTATCTTAAAGGTTAAAAAATTCTAGAAATTTTAACAATATTTAAAAATTGTCTATATAAATTCTGAAACAACTCTGTATTATAGGCTTTCTAAAATCCTAAACAATGTGATGAATTGACTAATTTATAAATCACTCCAACAATTTCTTGTCAAAACATAGACATGTTAAATGTAATTACTATCTGCTCTTCCCCAAACATAAACATCTTTTACTCTATAAATAACCATTATTAAAAAGTGAGAGAAATACTTATCCTGAAACTGAACACTGTGATGAGGATACAGAATTTACCTGGATGATTGGTAACACATTTGCACTTGTAACGGGAGTGATTTTATATTCTTCTGCAATGGAAGTTGCAACAAAGCTGAATCCTTTGAAGAGTTGGTGAGCATTTGCACTGGCTGGCAACCCAGGAGAATCTAATGTTTAAAAAGTTATATTTTACTAGAATTACACAAATGTTAATAATATCAGCACTTTTTGACAAAAAGAAACATTAAATGTCACAGTCTGACACACTATAAAAATGACTCATGCTTTCTTGCCATGCTTTGTAGACAGACATGTTGTATGTGGCCAATAATTTTTATTAATGGCTGCATCCACACTATCAAAAAACACATTCAATATGTCTTGAATGAGTACATGAAATGGATGTCACTAACAGTAAATTAGATCAAATTCTAAACTGAACCAGTGCATATCTTATGTTTTACCTCATACCATTATCTAGAATATTATTAGCCTGTCAAGGAATTTATAAAAAACATAAGAAACTTCCATGTTTTAGACTTCTCCACACTTCTGTGATAAATATTTCCCAATTACAGATTGTAGCAATGCTGTATATAAGATATACATTTCTACAAAGACCAAACTAATTTTGTACAACATAAATTTTACAGAAAAAGTTAGTTTATTTAGTAATTACTAGAACAAATACCTTGGTTATAAACAAATATGTATTACCTTTAGGTGTTTTGGCAGTAAATTCAGGATCAAAACAAAAAGTATCATCTGGTTTTCCAGAAGCAGGTCTGAAAGGAGGCTGAACTTCTCTTTTATATAATTTCTAGAGGTAATAGAGTAATGTAAAAACATTTAACATTTTGAAATATCATTAACACATGTTGAGTATTCCTAATAAAACATCTAAAATTCAAATACTCTAACATCTAGAACATTTTGAATATTAACATTATAGTGTAAGTAGACAAGCTGTAGCTAAAACACAGACACACAAAAAATATGGTATGAAATTATCCTCAAGCTGTATGAATGAGGTACATATTAAACACAAAATAATTTCATATTATTTTTTCTCAAATTCATTCAGTCCCTTTCATATATGCACACATACATACAAACACACACACACACACACATGCACACACACTAAATTCCAAAACCCAGAAAAATCTTAAACATGTTCAGATATGCAAGCTTTGCACAGAAAG